CGCAGATTTTGATGTAAAATTTTTAAAGTTTCCCCCGATATTGTAGAGAATTTCTCATCCCTCAAAATACTTAAATGTGGAAAAATCCTGGAAAATATGGTTGGAGGATACGAAAGAGTGATTCTGAGCTTTCCACACGCCAAACCAATACTGACAGATTGCATGTTCAGCATCCTGGCTATATTTCCACCTCCTATACAGATATTATAAAAGAAGAGAAGCTGGAAAAATTGTAAGCGGAGTCGAAATTTAGTGGAGCTCCTCCAGCCAAACTATTGTGGGTGGTAAATAGAAAGAATGGCTGTACAGTGATTGTGTGTGTATAACATTTTTACCGATTTGTCGTCACATTGGCGCCTCGTGTCCTCAGCGGAATGTGCCACCCAACTGTCGGTGAGGAAAAGTCTCGTGCACAAAGTCAGAGGAGTGAAACATACTTCGAATGTGAATTTCCGTTCTTCCCATGTTCATTCGCTCTATCATTGAACCTTTTTCAAATCCTCATAGCCGCGAAGGAAAAGTTTCGGGAATGAGTAACTGTGCAGCAAGTCACAATGGTTGGTTATTTATGGTATAAACGGAATTTTAGATCATTTTTCACATTAAAACAGAAGTTATGTGTATTGAAATGATATTTAGTTGGAAGTTTCCATTTTGGATTGAAATCTTGATCGTTAAGCTTCTGAGATTTCACGTAAAAATATCTGCGTTTGGCGTTTCTTGTGATCTGCATTTCCGTGATTTCCCATAAAAATACTCAATACATAGTTCTTTAAAGTGTGGATTAACGATGGTCTAAAGCAGCTTTTTCATCTATTTGTTTCTTATTTACTCTGAAGAAAATGTGAGTGAACTCTTTTGATTGAGGCCTCCTGGCGCGAGAGGAAGGAATTAACGTGAAATACGGGAACATTTTCAATCTCAAAGATCTCAAAGTACAATGCGGATGTCCGGTCAAGCACTGGGAATGTGGAAGAAAAGTCGTTTTCCACTGTCATTTCTTCACGTCGAAAGGAGCAGAAATGAAATGGACACCCTTTACTTCTTTTACTTGGAGCTACAATGAAAGTTTTCGTGAGTGTAACAAAATTTTATTGAAACATACGTGATGTTGATATTGTTGAAAATGAGGAGGAAAGTTTGATGCCTTCTTCACTTTAGCACCATCGCATGTTTCTGGCGAAGCGTTGAAAAATGCTGAAGAGTTTTAAGCAAACAATGGCATGGAAGATGCGTAATATTGCGTCCGCTGTATTACGATTATGACTATGTATTTCTGCAAGTTTCACCCTTCCAACTGCCAATGATGTTTTACTACAAAACTTTTTACAACTTATCGCACAATTGAAGCATTTTTCGGCATGTATTTTATGCGATTGTCGCGGAAGACTAGATGAATGCCAGAATTGATTCATCCACTTCTTGTGTGCTTCGTCTTCGGCATAAATTGTATCAAAATCCCCAGAGATGTCTGTTGCAGAAAAGTTGGCGCGTCTACTTTTGCCCAATGATCAATTCATGAGCATTGCAATGGGTCAGAGATTTGCTGGGGAGAAATGTGAGTGGAGGAGTGAATTGAAAAAAGGCCATTTTTCAACTAGCAATCATGAAGAATCGTAAATCTCACACTTGGCAGAATGGAATAGTGTCTTATTTCAACCGTCATATTTCAACTCAACACTCAACTTCTTGCATGCACAGCAAAAGTTTTGTCAGCGATGAAAAATTGCACGTCCTTCGGGTTTGCCAGGCAGGATATTCGATATGGTGTGGTAAGTGGAGATGAGACGTCACGCATATTTTGGCCACACAATTATCCTCACTGCGATGCCGAATGGTCCATTGGCATTGAATCCGATGAGCGAGAAGCTGAATTTCTTCACAGAGTGGAAGAATTGCCAATAAAATTGATTTATTCACATTTCAATGCCCACCCCTTCTGACAAAATGCCATCTAACAAATTGCACACAATCACGTATAATCAGTTAAAGTTAATAAATTTTATAAGTTACATATTTTTGTTGATTAGATACGCTCCAATTGGAATTTATTAGAATGATTTCTGGAAGGGAGTATCTCTGAAATTCTTAGTGTCAGCGAGAAAGCTCAAAAGGCTGAGCATAAACCCATAACATGACGTCTCGTTGGTGGAATTCAAGCCAAATCTGTGGGAAAATCTCTATGTTTTAACTCACTGACAACTGTTCTCAATTACATTATATGTGAATCCTCAGCAACGCATGGTTTCCAAGGAAAAACCACCCAATAAACGTGAAATTTGGACCAAAAACAAATAAATGTAAATGGTTAAATTTGCTTCCCCATCATTGTAAATAGTCAAAATTATGCCATTGAATGTTTATCGGGTTTAATAGTGGGTGAAAGTCTGCCAATAAAATTGGCAACTTTGGTAATTATTGGTTACTTAACTAAATTAAATTGGATGAATTTTATTTTTATTGTCAAGTAAAAAGACACAAAATTACTTTCTGCAAGAAATATACACATTTACTACATATCGTGTCACAATGCGAGACATTCTCATCACACTGTGTGTCTCCAACTATTCGCAATTTTGCTAAATGATTTGGAAATTCGATGATGAATTTTTTCAGTGAAGAAAACCACCCCACGCAATACCTCCCGTCGTCCCGATCACCCCCTTGCAAAATATCATTAGCATCATTTGCTGCCATTTGTAACAATTTCACCGGTTTTGCCATTCTACGTCTAGACAGCAAATCACCCCTTCGCAATTTGTCGAGATTTTTGTAGTTGTAATTGAATGTCTGTCGCGAAGTGTGGCCCATTGTCGGTGGAAATGGTTCGGAGGGAATTTAGTAAATTATCCAAATTGTTTTGTTTCCGCAAATATAAATAAAAGTCTCTGCCATGAATATTTATTGCCCTGAATCGCGACGAGTGCGGTGACGTGTTAAGTTTAAGGCTGGAGAAAAGGGTGGCAAAATAACTCCGATGAGCCACAGAAAACCGTCTACATTTGAAGCAAATAATGTAAAATTACGCAGAATCCTTTCGCTCCTCTCCATTAGCCTATCATCGTATATTCTAGATTAGTTTTGATTCAGCTGCTTCTTGATAATCAAATTTCCGCAATATTCACAAGAAATGACAATTCGATATATTCATGCGGAAAATAAAAAGGACAAGTAATTTTGACCTATGCATTGATATTGACTTTCCATGATCTTGAAGCGTGAATAGCTTATCGCTCTTTTCTACTTATTCCCGAATAGTTTTTCTGCAGAAATTGTGCCACAATACTGCGTAGACATAATTCTAGAAATTATTTCAGTCTTTTCGGGAAAATCCCACTTATCACTGTGTTGATTCTTCTCCCTTATCATTCCATTTATTATCCCATGAAACCTTTTAACACCATGCAATGTTGAACTATATTTAGAGTGATGTACTGACGATTGTGAGAGTAGTGCGGCATGTATGTGAATGCCATTTAACTCCAATTAACGACAATTTGGACTTTCGTCGCATGATCGATAGTGTAATTTACATAATAAGAAGCAAGCACGATAGAGTGAATTTCTGCGGTCACCGACAAAATTGTTCAAGAGCACCTCCAATGTGAGTGATTCATACATTTTTTAACGGGTGGTCATGTAAACTGGCAGGAACTGACTGATATTATCGCGGACTGTCTTTGATAATGACCAGTGAGACCCTATGAAAAATTAAGAAAAGTAATTAGGTTAGTTGAATTGGAGACAATTGTCTCGGGAGGAAAATGGTGTAATTTAATATTGCAGTGCACGGGCAGGATAGTCTCTGAATTATTCAATTGAATTATACGATTAAGGCGAAAGTCCCTGTGAGATGGGCCAGAGAGGAATTCAATTTCAAATAGTTTGGCCGAAAATTGTTTAATAACTCTTTAACGGAAAAGTTTGACCTGTCACTGGGTGGATAATTTGGAGGAGAATTTACGATGATGGAGTAAAACTTATTGAATATTCAGAGGTTGGAGTTTGTAAATTCTTTCCTCAATTGTGTTGGGCAATCAAATAAAATACGCTAAAAGTTGTGGAGTAAAAGTTTTCTGGCATTTATCTTGTTGTGCTATTTTCCCTCCTTGGCTCCAGCCAACGAGCATGCAGTACGAGATTAGAACACTTCGCGATGGTGAAACATAAAAAAGAATGGCATTTATCGTATTCTCCTGATGACTTCTTTCCATTTCTCAAATACTTTCCACTTTAGGAGCGCCACAAGTTGTCTGTCGACTGGATTAATAATGTTTCCAGGAGAAGAAATGGAAAAAACTATGTTCACAGAGTGAAAGTTTTGTCTCTATGAGGCTCTTAAGATGGAAATAATTCTCTGCCATCGAGAGAAAATTAAATTTTTTTCCTCTTCTCGTGAAAAAGTCCGTCAGGAATGTCGAAAAGTTTCTTCTGCGATTCTTCTTTTCAGGCTTGATGATGACTGATGGGGGTGGAATTACAATTGAAGGTGGAAAAGATTGTCGCCTCATTAATCCGATGGAAGCAATAAGCGAGATTGTTGAATTGTAATGCGGGGAAAATTAAAAGGATGCGAAAGAATTTAATATACATTATACATTGAAGCAGTTGTAAGTTATCCAGGAAACTCCCCGTTAAATCAAAGTGCACTTCAATTGATCCCCTTGGCATTAGAATGAAATATTAGAGAGCAAACGTAAAAAAGGGGTTGAAAATCATGTCCTCCCCATTTTTACGATATAAATAAAAATAATAGTGCCACCCCTGAAGTGTATTATTGGAGTTGCAGGGGAATAAATCACTTTATGGTGGCATAATAAAGACATTAAGTGAACTCCTCTCTCTTGCAATTTTCTTAAACACCCTGACACTTTCCGCAGATGATGATATCATGACAATATTCTCCCGACACTTTTATAGACCAGTCACTTCCTCGTAACTCCCCCATGAGCTACATCAACACATCTCACCGTTGTCCTCTGCTTCTCTCCCTTTTGCAGAATTCAATTCGGCACAACTTGTCACTCCACAATCGATTTATGCGTGTCCAGAACGAAGGCACCGGTAAATCATCGTGGTGGATGCTGAATCCGGACGCAAAACCGGGGAAGTCGGTGCGACGACGAGCCGCCTCCATGGAGACATCCAAGTTCGAGAAGCGACGAGGTCGAGCAAAGAAGAGGGTGGAAGCTTTAAGGAATGCACAAGCGCTAGGTAAAAAGAATGGCAAAGATGGAAAACTTTTCCACGGAATTGGAATAAATTGTGTGGTGAAATAAATCTTCCAGGGGTTGCGGCTGTGCTCAACGATGCCACCCCGTCGCCAAGTAGTAGTGTCAGCGAGGGTTTGGATCTCTTTCCCGACAGTCCTCTGCATAGGTAAGCATCGGATCTGTCACACTTTTTCACTTGCCTTGAGTCAAATACAATTTAGAATCTCTAGATTATGATACTTTACTCGATTGACATTCCGTATATTACACTTTATAGAGTCGACAATGTTTAGTTTCGATATTTAGAGAATCAACTCAGAGATTGAGAAAAGTGTGTCTTCTCAGCTTGCTGATAAAGTGAAAATTTCTTCACCTGCGAACGTCTTGTATTGGGATTTTGACGAAATTTAAGATTCTTTAGCCCAATTAAAGCAACACATGAAGTAAACATGAACATTATTGACCATTTGGTTAGGATTGACATGTCTTCATGTTCCGGGAATATGTTTCACTTGTTTTCATAATTCAAGTATTGTTTTTCTGAGAAAGTAAACCCTTGAATATTCTGCTCGGCTTTAACTTTGCCAATTATCTTTCGTAATTAGCCAATTCAAAATGGTGTAATGAAAGCCAATATTCTCTTTGTTCTTACATCTTGGAGTTGATTCTTAAATGAAACACTTAGCTTTCGATGTTGTCCAAAGTATAGAGATTTTAGAGCTATATATTAGAATGCAATGCAATTTTTTCATTTATATACTTGATTGTTAAATTTTATTTTATTTTCTCTTATTTTTCGCTCAACTCACAACCACCGCGGTTAAATCGAAAACTCTTACGGTGACCGACATAAAAAAAAATGTGTTGTATGAATTCCTTTGCTGCGACGCACGATTTCAGTGGCGGTTTCCAATTGTCGCCTGATTTCCGGCAACGTGCTTCATCGAATGCGAGCTCGTGCGGCCGCCTAAGTCCAATCCCGGCCGTCCTGGGCATTGAGCCCGACTGGGGCTATCCGCAGGATGACTTTGCCCCGAGCACAACGACCAGTACAACTGCGGCCACGACCACGGCCCAGCAGCAGGGCTCAGCTCAGCTGGATCAGTTGGCCGGCTCGCTGGCCGATGATCTCACGTTGCAATCTGAATTTATGCAAGGGTCAGTATTCCACACATACACACCGACTTCCCATCATTAAGCCATTTCCTCTCGACATCTTTCACCACTTTCCCCTACGCTCTCTCGCTCTTTTCTCAAATAAATCATCTGTTTTGACAACGAACACGCAACGGCGAGATGCTCAAGAGATACGGCCAGTCTCACTCTCCTGGCAAATCACCAGGCCAAGTCATTTACACTGTATGGCCACCAAATGGGCGTGAATGAGAGTAAAATTGTATCAATGATTTAATTGATACCCGTTGTGGCTGATGCTGCAAATATTTGCTGAAGATTGGATGGATGTTCTCAATGGGCTGTGGCGCACATAAAAAAAAATATAATATGAGACACAATTGTGGGGAAATTGTGCACAAAATTGGCATGAAATTTCAATAAAGCGAATAAAATTAATAGATGTGGTGCAGGATTTTGTATGTATGCACAAAAAATGGTTAACCAGAAACGGATTTATTAAATTGACCAGAAAATTCCAATGAGAAATCACTAAATATTTTCACTGTAATTATTGACATTAACTGAGAGAATTTAATTTTATGACATAATTCACCGCAGCTTTGTAATTTTAATTTCATTTTCCACTCTATTACACAGTAGTTTAGTGCACGAAATTTTTCCCGATTTAATGGGACTACAATCAGAATGATTATATACTCTTGAGCATGTTTTTTTTATGCATTCTTTTTTTGAATGATTCGAATGCGATATTTCTTACGTAAAGAACACTCTTACCTCTTGATACACCCTTGCATTTAGCGTATATCTTAAGGTCATCACAGGGAAGTGTTATCACGATCTTTTTCTTCCTTCAACTGATCATACGGTTGGAGTAGGTTCAACACAGCGACCACGCAATTACACAACCAGCCTCCGCCGCCCTATCAGGCGACCCAGTCATACGCCCTGCACGCCACAGTTGCTCAAACCTACGGAATGCACCAGAACCAGTGTCCCATTCACAGGATGCAGCCCTGTTCGTGTATGCATCACAACAACACGAGGGAGGTAAGCTCATTCCCGTGCGCAAGTGAAGAGCTCTATGGAGTGATGCTGATCGCTTTTGTATTGCAGAGCATGTCGCCGGCGTCAGGGACGGGCATGTCGCCTTCATATCCTCACAGTGAGCCCTCTCCGGACCCAATGGGCAGCTACAATTCTGTGATCATCGGTTCCAGAGTAGCACAGAGACCATCATCGAGTAGTCCACCATTGACACCTCAGACAGTTCAAATCAACAACGGTGAGTGTGACGACGTTTTCTCTAAATGCGAGCTAATTGAGTTGAAATGGTTGAAACAATAAAAGAAGGACATCGGAGGAAACGCCAGACAAATCATCATATGATTAATTTGTTTACCCAACAATCATTTTCTATTCAGAAATATATATTTGCTCTATTTCCTCCAGGTGACGCTCCATCGACGCTCATGGGTCAATTTATGGAGGCGCTCAACAATCAGGCCATCATTGATGATTTAGGACTAAATATAGATAGCTTTCACGGAGGTCTGCCAAATGTCGATGAAGTAAGTTGAGACTTACCTGTGGACGAAGTCTCTCGGATTCCGTATCACGCCATGATTTCATTGCGCCAGTTCATTGACTTTCTTCTAGGTTATCAAGCATGAGCTGAGCATGGATGGCTCGCTGGACTTCAATTTCCCAATCTCGCACCACAATATGACCACCTCGCACGCGTCCAACGTCTCCACGGTCACCGACAGTAGCATCGTCAACACACTGTCCGGACCGCCACCCCAAACGGCCGCTGCTCACGCCCCGGTCCAGTACTCCACGAGAACGAGCGTGACGCCGCCGTCGTGGGTGCACTAGATAAGCCGCGCCAGTCCACCAGCCCATGGGTAAGTGAATCCTTCTTCGCTTTTTCTCTGCGAGGGCAGCGAAAAAAGTTGCTTCATCCATCCCACGCACATATTGCGAATCTTGACAGAAAGTCAATTAAAATTCCTGTGAATTTTTGCGTGCCGATAAGCAAAATCAATTAATCACGTGCCGGTGCAGATGGCTATATGGTGGAAAAAATCTCCATTAATTACCTTTCTATTCCATTAAACAATGCGTTTACACACAAATTGAGGAATTATGGTGTAGAGCAATTTACGCAAAAAGTGCGAGTGGTTGCGGATCATTGAAATTCTTTCGGGAAGTTTTTAATTACATGATCTGACAACCACAGATAAACACTTTTTATTTCGGTAAATCGCAGGAATTTAAAATCCATTATAGTAAATGCAATTAAAGTATTGTTTGGAGACTCAAACTATCTGCACAGCACTGTTAGGGCTAGATTAAATCATAAGAAGAACTTCTTAGGACATTGTTTGAGGGCTAAATTGATCTCAGATTAAACTTAAAGACTTTTCAAAAGTATACTTTCGTCAATGTTTCCAAGGTGAGGAAAATTAGCTACTTATAAATTCTCAGCCAATTTCCCGCCGAAACCCCTCGGGATGGAATTAAAATGAAATTCCTCACCCCATTGTGGAAATTGCGTTAGTCGCTTCATTAGAACACTTAAATTTTCTCCTTTCTTCGTTTTATTTTATTCACTCACCCTCCAATTTAGAGAGTGACAGACAGTTGAGGAGGAAAAATGAAATGATAGAACAGGAAAAAAAGGAAGTTGCACAGCACTTAAATCAAGAAAGTTTTCCACCCCTCACGACAACTTCAATTATATCATCTCTTAACGTGCTCAATTTGAGGTGAATTTAACAAGAGGAAATTTATTAAGCACTCTCACAGTCACTTTTGGGATAAATTCGTCAAATCAAATACCCACCTATAGGTATACTCAATTATGGAAGAAAAAAAATCAAAAAGTTCAACCTTATGTTACCGACAATCTCTCTTTTTTTCCACCCTCGAGCACATTTCATCTCCGGCTTCTTGCACGGCAATAAAAGGTGGAGAGAATCAAAGAAAGACAGGAATACGACTGAAGTGCGCCTCCCTTCAAAGTTACATTCTCGTCCCTCATTCTTCTTTCCAATCTGGAGAGCGGAGTCTAAGGATTTCTGCGTCCGAGGTGATTTGGAGGAAAGAAACTTTTCTCCAGCGAAATTGTCTTCTCACACTTTGGCACTGGCCGCACAATTTAATTTCCATAAATACGAAGAAATACAGGAAATTTCCCTAATTTAATGAATTATTCCGCTATATTAATCAACTCAACTAGAGACTTAATTTGGCAGCTCAAAAATTTCAATATTTCAAACCTCTTGAGTTGAATTTTCAAAATTCTCTCATCAAATTAATATTCACGGCAAAAATAATAATTGCAGAAAACCGGAAGGTATAGAGATGTATATTAAGCACGAGAGATGTATGTATGTACAGCGGACGTCCGCATAGAAATGAGCTTGAGACTTCCGTTTATTCGATTTCCATCCCTCGAGGGTGGACTTCCATATGTACTCAGAATGTAGCAAATTAAAAATCGCTTTAAATACAAGCTTCATAAATTAAAAACATCCCCTCTCACTTCAACTAATTTCACCTGAAAGCTTTCTTTTATCTGCATGAGAAGTTATTTAGGATTTCCACTTGCAAACCATCATGAGAAACATCTAAAATTCTCAAAGAAAAATGCCATGTTGCTCTATATTTCTTTAATGTGCTACTTCAGCTTTTATCTCTATTAGATGGGATGAAGTTAAAAATACGCCCAAGAGGATGATTTAAAATGTTTGACTAAACTCAAGATATCGCATGGGAAAATCTGCATCTGAAGCTACGAACAAGATGTTTTATTATCTCCTTGCCATCAAACCCGTGCAACTTTAACGTGAAATATTCCATGAATAAAATGGAATAATTTCATGAAATGCGGTTATATGGGCATTTGGGTATGGTTTAGAGAGAGAGTGTCTGATCTATTTATTTGGATATGTTGATTAGATTAGGTCAATTGGATGCGGATAATTGGCTTGAGCACAGTTTAGCAAATCATGATAAATTGGATAATTTCACCAACATTCAATTGCCACTGTTTCACGAGTGCACTTCAGCACATTCCTCAATTACTTCCGCATATTTCGCCGCCGTTCCGAGACGATGAGTCACCCCTGAATTATTCCACTGATCAACCCTCTGCCGAGGAAGAGAAGACCCTCTCAATCGTCATTGGCAACACAACTTATTCATTCGCACAAGATAATCAGCAAAAATTGAGGAAATAAATTAAAACAGGAAGATTTCAACTGACGGTGAAAGGGGTTGAGATACAATACAAACATATTCATGTTTGGAGATGGGGTGACTTGAGAATAGAGATTTTTACAACTATCCAAATAATTGTGTGTCTTCCCTCTTAGTTTAATTTGTCTGAAGAAGAAGCGCTCATTGCAAATTGACGTGATTCTACACCTCCTAAAATGTACAAGAAGGTGCACAAAAAGGGGTAAATCTTCACAACGGAGTGAAGTACAAACTGGCAAAAAGCAAGAGGGTGGCGTAGAGTTGAGAGATTGAGCACGGAATACACAAAAACAACAAGTCTTTTTCAGTTAATTCACCGCATTACGAGGAGTCACAGAAACCACTTGTTGATTTGGCACAGAACACAACACAGAGCAAATATTGCCAAAGGGTGGGAGGGCGAATGAAAGGGGTTGCATGACTCCTCGCCAGTTTATCCATGTAAGCCCAAGGGCTGACACAGCTCCGTGGAGTGCTGTTGTGTGGAACATTGCTGGGATTGTTGAAACGGCAACAAGAGTGCATGAGCAAAAGGGAGTGAATTGTCGACAGATAAAATTCCTCAGACACTCAATTCTACGGCGCTTTTTCATGGCTGGGCGCAGGGGTCGGAAGGCCATTTAGGAGGATTGCAGGAATCCTCGAGAGAGGCATGAAAATTGGGCGGGTGGGAGGGTGATGATTGTTTTGAGTGGAGGAAAACATGTTAATGCCCGTATTAATGGGATGTCGATGGCAGAAGGAGGAAAAGTAGCACGAGATTTTTGGCTGTGGGGCGAAAATGAAAATAAATCCAGCTGAAAATTGTAATCATGATATGCTAGATAAGGGGATCGCAATTAGTGGGTGGAAAGTTGACGAGGGGTGATTAATTTTTCTTCCTCATTCGCCTGACATTGGGATTTTTGGAGGAAATCTTTAAGAAGCCAAGCGCAGCTAATTAACCCATTAAGACATGTGAGAACTTTAACGTTACAATCTATTCATTCAGTTCAATTTATCTTGACTTGTGAGGATGAAAATTCCGAACATACTGCACGAGTTTTTAGATATTGCACGCGAGATCATCGGAGTATGGTTAAAAAGTGACAAGTTAATGCAATAACTCCCACGACTTTGTCGTCAGATTGTCGACATTCCGCCACCCACAGTGGCCACAAAGTGGGGGCTAGAATATCGTTACACTCCTGTCTCTTGGCACACACTCCTCCACTCTTGGCGGTGACGGTTTGGTTAACAAGACGTCATTTCATGCCTCTCTTGCCACCCCATAAAATAAAAGTCCTCGTGTCGACGGCGAGGAGTGATGAGGTGCCTTTGACACTTCACCCCCGCCCCAGGAATCTGTCATCGAGTGCCTTGGGCGTCTCAAGAATCCCCCCCCCCTTCTTCGTGAGCCGCGCCCCACGTATTAAGTGCGTTTCACACCGCAAGGGAACCCAAGGGGGATGCGAGAGTCGCAGCATGGATGCCAGAGTGAAAATGACTTGCTGAACTTTTCCTATCGTGAATTTTTAAATATAATTTAATAAAGTTGGGAGCATTTTTCTTGACATCTTCATTATTAAATTTTAATCTGCGCCCCAGCTTCCCTCATTGTCTTGCCAATGCCACCTTCTCATGGCGTGATACTTTCCTGGATGCGAGCGCTCAACCCATTCCACTTGTGTCTTTTCGTCTGTTGGGAGACAATTTCACTCTGTGGTGAATTTATGTTCGCTGAAATTCCTCCGCACGGGAGTTTGGAATCGATGGCGACAAAACGACGATTGTAGGGGAAAAGATTCGAGGGAGATGAAAGTCGTCGTAAAATTCGATTGCCCGGACTTTTTTGCGTATGAGCTTCATTGACTCCTAACGATGACGATGGCGACCGCGTAAATCTAAAGGGGTGAATCACTGCAACATTCAGGGAAGTGATTGGAGTAAGTTGAGCAGCGCGTGTTTCTCTCTTTGCGAGAAATGAAAAATCTGTGAAATACGGGTGGATTTTGCAAATGAGAGGGTCGCTGGAATTGTGATGTTCTTGTTGAACATTTTATTGGGAGATAAATTCAATTCAGAAAGACAGAATCTCAGCAGTATGACTTATCAACCCCTTTTTGATTATATAATGTCGCTGCAGAAGGGCTTCAATTCCACTTTAGGCTTCCCCATACGCGCTACAGTGACTTTTGTGGGGAAATCCCGGCGAGAATATGGAAGAGAGTCAGTGAACGCGAGGGTATTTCTTGCAAATTGAATCTTCCGCTATTTCTTTTTATTTATTTACCCTACAAATTCTCTGCCCAAATGATTTCCAGTCCATCTCGCAGCATCGTACGTGGGTCGGAGGGCGGAGAGTCGTACTGCTCTAAATCATAAGTGATTGTCATATTATCAATTTTAATGCCATGGAAATTCCGCTCTCGTCAAATGCTGAGAGGCTCTTTTGAGATGCATAAGCATGAAATGGGGACTTGGAGAAAATTTACTGCGATACAGATAATGAATTCTGATTTGCTGTCACTGATACAACTCCTCTCGCGTCACCACCCGCCACCCACTCTCTCTCGCTCTCTTTCTCTGCCTTTGCGAGATGTTCTGGAAAAATTTGCTCATTCAAGTCGTCATTGCTCCTCCTTGAATGTACGAGTTGAGAAATGAATTTGAAAAGAAAACGGAACGAGAGATTGTATTTCACTTGTAGCGCTTTTCATGAATTGACGCTTTTGCGTTTTGTGTGAATTGAAAAAGATGATGATGGCATTCGCAGAAGGCACTTATGGCAAGGAAGAGGACTTGTGTGGAGGAGAGCGATGAGATCAGGAAGAAAACGGAAGGCGGAAGTTTAAAGTCGTTACACTTTAATGGGGAATTATTTGTCAGACAGAGAGAAATGCTAAGAAGACGAGAAACAGGCGGAGAGAGATTTTCTCTGTGATTCCATAATTTCTTTCACTTAATTTCTGAAGAACACCGGAGACGAGAAATGGCAAAGAGGGAAATATGTAGCAACTATACTTGACAATTTGGCACATTTCTATGAGCGTTTTTTTGCTCAGCACACTCGCGTGGATAGCATCAAAAGGTGTGCTGGTGTGAGATCAAAAGAAAGTGAAAGAGACAGTTATCGTTCAGTGATTTCAATTGGTAACATCAGAACTTGAGGGATTTCTTTACATTTCTCTCCTTCCCTCCGGCTTCTTGCGCCCACATTCTTTTAAATTCATCATACAATTTCACATTTTCTATGCAACCATACAATTTCACACACACTTTGATTGGCGGATTCTATGTTGAGAGTGAAAATTTATTGGTAAAAAACCATGAAAGTGCTCTGAGAGAATATTCCTCCGCGTGCTAAATTCTTCCAGGTTTTCCCATTCTTTCACCACAAAAGTCTGCCTATTGACAGGAAAATGTTAAGCAGTAATTTTGAGGGAGGGAAATTTCTTTGACCGGAGATTTTTTCGACTCGCCCTTATAATAACTGTGCTTATAAAAATTGTCCATGGTAACTTATATATAGCACGTGCCCGGGAGAGAACAATGGTCCATTTGTCACGCTTCGATCTTTGCAATTACAATTAGGATGCGAATCCTTAAAAGAATAATGGTTCCTTTTTTAAGAAATTTAAATACATTGTTCTCGAAATACTTGAATGCCTTGTATGGAATATTAAGCAAAATAAGACGTTCTTTGTATTGTTGCAGATTGAAATAAATCGATATTGATATTCTATGATTAAGATTTGGTAGGAAATATTTCTAATTTGACAACTTTCTGTAGAAACAAAACACCTTTAAATTCCTACAAAAATGATCAATTCGTTTGTTTCTTTTGCACTTTCATCTCTATATATCTGACTCCGTTGAAATTTCTTTTCTCAAGATACTTCCCACGGAATTATGACGAAAAATATTGTTATATAAATATACTATGTCTCAATATCATGTACGTGTACATGATTCTCTGCCGACATCAATAATATCATTTTTCCCATGAATCAATCTATACTCGTGACATTCGTACCTTAAATTGTCTCTACGTTGTCTGAAGAGAGTGTGTAATTGCTAAATATAATACTTTGCATGTATACATTCGGTTCAAGAAGTCGCTTAGTATCATTGTTTGACAATGGGAGAAATATATTGAGAAATTTTAATTGTTTAATGTTCAAGGAATGACTTGAAGCTATAAATTTTCAATTTTGAACCAAATAGAATTATATAGAGATTGCAGAAGAAAGGATGAATTTACGAAATTCTCTTTTTTTATCACAAGTAGTAAAAATGAATGAAGATATTCTCCCCTTTATTGCCAATTTACACGAATGTAATCTGGGGATTGAAAGCTTCTCAAATCATTATAAGGATTTTACGTAATGTTTTATGAAAATCTGAGATCTTTTCAGTGCAATTTTAGACATTTAATTGTAACATCTTTCGACTCGAACATAATATTCCATATTGACAAATCTCTCTATGTCTAATTTTAGATATCCTGTCGTGCAATCCTCGGCCATCATTGGAAGGAACACAGAAGTAGGAAAATTCTCAGATTGATCCCCGAAGGTGTGTTTGAGCACATAGAAAATGGAGAGGATTATTCTTACAACCATTTAGTGCAAATTAAGTTGTGTTACACACTTTCATTTCTCTCAATATATCGCCCACAAAACAATCAATCAACCAATCAGTCAATCAACCACGCAATCAGACGGAAATGAGAGAGGAGCTCAAATTACAGACGAGCAACGGCTGTACCAATAAACTCAATTTGTACTTGGCTCTGGGTCGGCTTAAGATGCTGTAAATGGTAGCTGTGAAGCCCTACATAGTGCGTAAATGTAACACAGATCTCAGGAGAACTTATGTTAGCACTCGGAACAAAGTATGCACAAAAGAATTTTTCCTTAATTTCGTCTTAAGATGACAAGCATGCATCTCAATGACTACACTCGATTCTTGAGGAATTCAGTGAGGTTTTTTGTAGTAATATTTTGATGAATTTTCATTGACACTTCAGTTCAGACGATAAAAATTGATCATGCATGTAAATAGACTTTATTACTGATCATTTGAAGTTTCTCTTCGCGTCTTTTTCCCCTTTTGTAACAACTTCATTATGTGCCATTTGAAAGATTCTCAGAGCAGCTTTTGTGGTGAGTACGAGTGAAGTCACAGAGAAGGTAACTAAAGAGAATGAGGAACTCATGTGGAGACCAAGAATACAAAATATTAGTGCCATTTTTGCAATAATAGAAATGAGGATAGGAAACTCATATGAGAAGCAACTCAATAAACTTGTATGTCGCCTGTTTAATTGTATAAACGTGAATCGAAGAAATATTTGACTTCTTAATGTGCGAGAAGGCAACACAAAACTTTCAAAAGAAAAAAAAATGTAGGAGAAAGATGCTATTAATTTTCTGTCTAGATCGAGAGTGTTGGGTCAGTTATGAATTTAACAAGAAGAAGGAAGATGAAATGCTTATTGTGAGGAAAAGAGAAAAATTAATTGCATTGCATTAGAAATTATAATCAATGTCGGCTTTAAAACATATTGCAAATTGAATTTCCGATTTTATCTCCCTTCATCGTATAAAAGAAGCATAATTATAATTGTTAAGGTGCGTATCAAGTACAATTAGACAAATATTAATTATTTTCTATTTGTAAGAAATTGTATCGTTAATGGTTGGAGGGTCTCTTCAATTTTTCATATTTTTAATCTGTTCTTTTTTTCCATTTCTTAATTTCTTGAAATGTCTTGCCAAATATCGCTGTGAAAATAGGGTGAAACCAAACAGTGGAAAGACATTTTGCAGAATCTCTAAAGACACTTCTTTAGACTATAAACGTCTTATTGATCTTTTTGTAAAACAGAACGTGCAAACAATATGAGAAATAACACATTAAATGGAAATTTTTATCAATTACAAAGGCCAATTAATAAATGTAATAAGTAGATAATACGTAGGTAATGAGAAAACTCTAAAGCTTTGTACATATTAAGGGTAGTTTACAGTACTGTATTATTTTGTAAGGAGACATTTTAGCAGACAGCAACTGTGCAAGTCATTCGATATAATACTTTTAAGAAGAATGATGTACTCAATTTTATAAGGAGGGAAGCAAGAGTGACGCTGAGAATTATTATTCACGTGACACATAAAACACAAATAGCCAAATTATTATCTTAATTTTCATTAAACATTTTCAAAGAAATCGATAATTTTCCAAAATAATTCGCATTCAATTATGAAAGTAGTTCTCTGTGTCACTTTTGCTCGTCAATTATTTCTTTTTTTCTTCTTCAATTAACACAGCAAAATTCTAAATTTATCTTATTGTATGCTAAATTTATTAATGAACTAATTTGGTTTTATCATAATTTTTGGATTAGGCTATGTTTTTTGGCAAAATTAACCGCATAAACGAAACAATAATAGTGGAAAATGTGTTAAAAACTAGGATAGAGGGAGAAAAAGAGAAAAAAACGTTGTAAAACGACAAAGAAAAATCAATAGACGTAGAACTGTAACAAGTAATAAATGTATGTTCAATATTAAGTGTGATAATATGCACCAATAGGGTTTATTAGGCCTAAAAGATGAAAATACTAATTGAAAATATTGCTATGGTTATTGAATGAAAAATCGAGGTGAAACTGTTCATATTAGTTTTTTTTCTAATTTAGTTTTTATCTTTTGTAAGTAAGTGAAATTACGCAAATTTTATAGTGGAATGCCGGAATATTTTAAATCCTATGGAAAAAAGAGTAAAGGAAAAAGAAGCACAATGAAATCAATTGTGATTTCTCAATAATAAGCTTATTTTAGTGCGAATCGTGGAATGAAAATCCTGTGTTTATTTGAGAAAGAAAAAGAAAGTTGTGTAATAGCACAAAAGGGCAAAGGAAATATATTTATTGAAGAAAAAAATGCTGTCTTTTAAGTGATGAGAATTGGGAAGTATGTAAATTTACATTTATGTTCACAATTGCGATAATAACGAGCAAAGTTATGAATATTTCATAGCATTTTTCTCGTTCTAATTTCTAATAATTTCAGTTTGAGTGCTAAAGAATATTATTTAATATATTCGTAACTATTGAATCACTATTGAAGATATACAACTTATGTAACGGATGTTAGATAAAATAATATGTATAAAATATATATTAGTGAAAAGTTTAATGAAAACCCTTGTTTTATTTTGCCACAAGTAAGAGTAAAGTGTAGAGCAACGTCTGCAAATTATAATTTGGAAGATGATGAACAACTAACTATTTTACAAGAGAAATTTTGACTACAATTTAATGTTTAAGATCACAATGAATGTTTACTCCTGAAAATATCCCCTTCAAAACAGAGTCTTTTCACTCTAGTAATTTCAACAAGTGACTAACCTCACCGAATTAACAAAGAGGATGGAAAAAAGAAAAGTTCTCGACCATTTCTCATCTCTGTGGTGTATGTAATTTGCTGTACTTCATCTGGTAAATTATGATGAAAATTCATCTTGCAATTTTCTTCAATTGTCATAAAAAATTCATCAAATTATCTTCAATGGAGATTGTCTGTGTGCGATGCGAATGTACCTATTACATATGTATATTTGTTGAATTATTTTGCGTAATAATAAAAGGAAGCAAAAATAAGATTTCCACACCTTGAAGGACAATAAAACATGATGAAATTACGCGTGAAAACTGACGAAACAAGTTGAATTATTTAAAGTGTTCTGTGTTGGGGGATGTTAATTGATGACACGCCGAGAATTCTCGTCTCATCCCGCGATCTTCCCGGGTTCAAGCGAAGACGCAAAGTGTACTAAATTCAGATTGGGAACTCGAAAAATAATACACTGTAGCATAGACACATATCGCGTCTTTCTAATCCAATACACAAACCAGTTCTTATCGGTGAAATCGAATATTTCAAAATGCCGCTCAACGGATAAAAGTACGTGTTTTAGTACACTTTTCAATTGGCACGTCCAACCCTGATTTTGGGGATGTCCTTCCAGCTCCTGCCGCTTGGAACGCTGGATGTCTGCTTCAACCCTTGTGGAATTTCCCAGAGAAGGAAAGACAGGGGAAAATGAGCTCCATCGGCGTTTCCTCGCAACGCACTTTCAGTTGAGTTTCACTCACCGGCTCGGTTAAACGTGTCACGCGAATTTTTGGTGTGATTCGCCCAGGATCATACAAAACCACACATACATATCAAAAAGAAAATCAGAGCCTCTACTTCATCTCTTATCAGTGAAAATTTTTCAAAATCTTCCCCGTGGAGAGCGAGGCTTGAAATATATCAGAGAATGATTTTTCCGAAAGCTCATTAAACAGTGCTTCCCACGTTTCGATGCTGAGGATTTTCAGTGTCACTTGCATCAGGTCGCGAAGTGGATGAAAGAGAGCGAGGAAGATAAATTTTCCTGGTCAGGAAGCGTGAATTGCAGCAAAGAGTCGGTGCGAGGGCAGTGAAGGGGATAAAAACGGAGTGGAAAGAAAAAAATTAATTATTCCGTTGAGGAAGTGAGTTGTATTTTCACACTCTATCTCTCTCACGCTCTTCTCTCTCTCTTCATCTTTTCCTCCAACAAAAATCTCACCCTTCACCTCGTTGACCTCACTCTATCCCTGATCTTCAACTCCCTTCCGAGGGTGCAAAGGAGACCCTCGACTCTTGCGCCCGGAAAAACGGACTACGACCTCGTATCGTGTCCATAGTCGTGCCTCCTGGGAGTAATTTTGGAGCAAATTCCACACCAGGCAGGGAATAAGTGGCCAGGAAAGGATGATTAGTAAGTTCACACAGAATTATTATGCTTTTCTTGTGTTCACACTCGCACGAGGGTGTTTTAATTATCGTGCTAATTTGTCGAATGTGTGAAAATCCTTTGCTTTCCACCAGCAAAATAGACCATTGAGCATACTTAGATGGCAGCTTGAGTTCTCATATTGCCCCTGTGAACAGAGCTTTTTACGTCCCTTCGAGACAAAAATAACTCATTAGACAAGTGAAATTTCTCGTTTTATTTTTTCAAATAGTGCCACTGAAATCGGTTGACATTTCGGGGCTTTTATTGCTTTTACCTTGGAAACATTTGAATTATGGGGTTATCAAGAAGTAAAAGATTTAAGACCAACAATTATGCTGAATGGATGGAATTATAGAATACACAAACGGCATGACTTTCGCTCTATTTCTTTTAATTCATACGAGTTTGAATTTATTTGCAATAAGATTGTTATATGTGTTATAAAATATTTTAATACTGGTGAAATATGAACCGGGAAAATCTCTCTCATTGCGATTAATTAAATTTCTGATATTCAGTGTTTCAATTCAATGTTGGTCTCATTTCCTTAACTTTTTCTTAAAGCTTTATAGGTTGAATTAAAAATTGATTGAAATAAAAACGCAAAAAAACGTTGAGCTCTCTATACTTTGTTAATTTCTTAAGTTATACTTTAATAGAATTTTGAGATCATTCATTCATTTCGGCGCCGCTTCTCTATTTTGCAATACTGGATGAAAACATTTTGAAATGAAAGTTTCAGTAGAGCTTTAAAATTTTGTTCCAGTTTGAAACAAGACAATATTTAACTATAAGCACTTATATTTGAATAAAACTTGTGTACGCACGTGCATACTTAACCAAATTGCATTCATTATGCTGAAAATTGAACTGCTCTTAGGAATAAAATTCACTTCTCATCTGTTATATGGTAACTTTCAGCACCTTTCAGCACGATTTATATACATTTTAACTAAATATATGTTTCGAGGTGATAATTGTGTTACAATGTGGGATAGTGGGTGTCAAAATTCTGCACATGTGTCCAACAATTGAGCTCCATTTTCCATAAATAACCTCCACGAAGCACTGTTGCTCGACATATTGCTCCAGTGGCGAATGCATCATCATCCCCTGACTTTCTCACAACATGCGAACTTTAAGTTCGCCTCAGTTCCACACTGTTTTGGAAGATCATTTGTGCAGAGAAAAATTGTCTGGGTTGGCGAGGAGAAAAAGGGGAGCGTCAGAAGAAAATCATGAATGCATTATTCAAGGAAACTTCCACTGTTTCCAACTATATATAACTTCCACCTTAAAACCATATCAAGCTCATTTGAATATTATTGTGAAGTGGAGAGGAAACACCCTATGGAATGTACAGTGGAGAGCACACAAAAACATAATTGCATGTAACTCTCTTTTCCACAGTTTAATTATTGGTTGGCACTAGGCAGATCCCCAAATTGCCATTGTGGACAAAATGGAACGGGGAGTTGGTATTTGGGTCACGTCAATGAACGAAATACTAAAAGTTATATTATGCTGAATGGAAGCGCTGATGAAAAGGTTTCTCACCCAAAATGAACTTGAATATCGCACAGGAAGGATGGCGAGAAGAGGCATGTGGAAAAGTCATTGACAGTGATATCGCTGATCTATATTGAATGATTCTAATGTTTCCTGTTTCGACCATTGATTTCAGTTGAGAAAAAAAAATCACTGCCTCTCATTTTACAAACTCACATCAAATTATTGTTGTTTGCAATTTTTTCCCCTCTGCTATGGACCATAAAATTTCAACTCCAATAATTAAATAACACGCTTTATGTGGAAAAAATACGTGATTGGGTAATAAAAAAGGCGCAGAAGCTCTCTTTTCTGGTACTTTGGACAAAAACATTGAATATTGCGAGGAAATTTGATTTAAAATATATAAAATATTTTTTTTAAGTACGCAAATATAGTGAGTGTATAAAATTGAAACTCCATCAAGGGCGTAAGTAGACGAGTGTCTATTATTCTGAGAGCACAAAATTGTGAATATCTTGTGAAAACGGACAAATGGGCTCAAGTACATAAGTGGAGCGATATTGTTACTGAAGAGTAGCCAATAAAAATTCAACAGCGGATTTTCCAATTGGGTAGCTTCAGCTTGTTGCTGCTTTGGAAATTTTAGATAAGGGAAAATGGTAATACAAACTCCCATAAGCTCTCGCTTCCGTATTTTGTCTGATGAATTATGGGTTATTGCATTCTCAATAATGAAAAAAAGCGACAGACACAAGTACAGCCCCAGCATTCTTGGCTGTATCCTATAAAATACCTCAATCGACCTTTCGCCACAAATCAGTTGGATGTGCGATGCCACCGTTGAGCGCTCGGGGGTGTTTTATTGGAGGAATTACGAAAGGTTCTCTCTTCTCGACCGGAAGAAAAAGCTCATTGGAAATTCATAACGACGTCTCTTCAGGGTGGCAGAATGCATAAATTTCCCACCACAATTGTGTGAAAGTCGAAATTTAATTTGGCGAGTTGGAATAGAAGGACAGAATGCAAACATGAGAATGAGATGAAAATACTCGATATTCCCTCTATTTATCTTATTCAACTAATTTATGTGCACAATTAAGGTCTCATCACGTGGATACCGAGCATTTTCCACAATATCTTATTATTACGTGTTTAACGCGAAAGGTAGAAATATGCTGGGCGTTTATCGTCTCATTATTCTCCTTCATGATTCATAGTTGGATAAATACATGATACTCGCTGGAAGCTACAGCATCACCTAATGTACCTAATGTAATCAATATCAACACTGCTTCTCACTACCTGAGCTCACTTCTCTCAGGAGAAATAAGACTAGAGAAAGAATATCTTTAAGGATGTTTCATCGCGGTATTTTTTTCTACAAATTATTCATGCTTATAATCTCGATTTTCAATTCGTTATTTCTTCATACCTGTTTTACATGCTTTTGCAAAATGCTTTTTATGCTCTCATTATTGTACATAAGCAGAGATTACGCAAATTTATATAACATAAAAATCAAAATTGATTAAGTTAAAAATCACAGAGCAAAATATTGCTCGAAAACATTCCAATAAATTTGTTCTTCTCTATAGTTGAGCATTTTTTTTATATAACAAGCTCTCTTTCATGATAAATTGAGAGTGGATGGGAGAAATAAATATTCGATAAATTTTAATATATCGTGAAAAATGTTCAGCTTAATTGGCATTTATGCCGTGTAGATGCTGTTCGCGGGGGAAATTGGGAATTTCATCAGGGAAAATTTCATGAAAATTCCATTCGAGTCTTGCGCCGGGGCACAAGCAACAGGAGAGACGTCTAAAATCGATATTTCCCAGTCATCGTCTGAGAGCAACAATAACAGAAACTTGCACAGGACGACATAGTGTGGCGGCTCCAGTCGAAAATCACCACGTAACGCTTGTCCAAACGGTCACCAACCGCCAGAGACGTGAGGAGGTGTGAAGGGGAAATTCAAATACGACAACCGGAAGCCAGACAAATGAACCACCGCCCTTCGTCCGAGATGAACTCGCGCCCAGAGCCGTGTACTTGGGACATAATCGCTGTCCGGGTCAGTTCAGTCTGTCAGCCGGAGAGAGCGGAAGTGCGCTCATGGTGGCACAACTGTGTGATCCACACAAACCCCAGTAATTGCTCCATGGCGTGCCGGGTGCGATGTGATTCCGGTGACGAGGAAGGCTTCTCGGCAAAATTGACAATTACTACCCTTTTGTTGGTCGCTTCCGTGCCAGTGCGATCATCCTCGATGTGTTTGCGTATGCGGGATTCCATAGGAGGAGCATTTATCATTGATTTTCTGGACGGGCAATTTCCACCTACTCCGCCACAGGCTCTCACGATATCTCCCGTCCAATTCCCACATGATACATTCTCTCCTGGATGTGCCTTTGTTATTTATGCCAGAGCCAGAGAAGAGAAAAAAGACCATCCGCACACTTTTGAAGTGGACATCACAGGGAAAAACAGCCCCAAGAATAGAGCGGAAGGCGAAAAAGCCGAGAGAGAGAGAGAGGAGAAAAGGGAAAGGATATACTCAATAATGAATACTCGTGGCTAAGAATTTATTCTATGCTCATATAGTCCAGTTGAGCATTTTGTGCCGTCATTATACATACACACTTTGGGTCACGCTTCTCGCCCACAGACTCCTCGGAAATACTCGCATGAAATTTTAATGGAATCTCTATATTTAAAAAAGACAACCACTTTTCCTGGAAAATTTTATTGGGTCGCCAGGAGAAGGAGAACGTATGCAAATTCTATTGAAAATATCTATTTTAACTTTGCCTCTAGGAACGAAATCTTGACGAAATGTAGAGTAAGATGTGTCCATATAACCATTTTCGGAAATATCTCAGAGCATAGTGAAATATTTTATACGCCACATATTCATGAAGACTCCATATATTCGCCGATAAGAAGCAAGTTTGTTTATTTTGTAAAATCACGTCATGATACGTTCGATTTTATCCAGGTTGTTGTTTTTATTTCCGGCAAGGGTGAAAGCATTTTCGATAATAAAAACATATATTTTGTAATTGAAGGAAGAAAAGCAGAAAAGGAACCGTGTCTAAAGTATTCTCAGTGCTTTTTTCACGCAGACATTTCTTCCTTCTGTTTTCCGTAAGTGTTTTTGTTGGCGAAGCGCACATAAAACATATAGGAAATCGTTTCTCTCGGTATATCTTAACATTTTAAGGGAGCGAGAGGGAGAGAGAGAAGACAGAAAGTGGATATGAGAAAATTCTTCTTTGCAATTGCTAAGGCAGAAGGCGAGAAGAAAGCTTTTCACAGTTGTACATGAAAAGGTAATTTTGCTGGAACTTGCGAGGAATATAATAGGAGGATTTCGAAGTGGCGAAGGGAAAAAAGGGGGAAGACATTGGGACGATAGGGTGGCAAACGGCAAAAGATGACACCGTCTCCTTGTAAGCAGAAAAAAAATAAAGTGACAGGATATTTGTGCGGTTGTGATTTTTTGCTACTCACTGTCATCTCGTGACTGTCTCGCGATAACGAACTTAATAAGTTTCTGCTGAAGGAATCAAAAAATGTGTCAAAGAAGTTTAGGCATTATTCCAATGGATGTTTCCTTGCCCCGAAAACGTTTGAAAGCAATCCTATAAATCACTCACATGACAAATCAAAAAGAGGCGTTCCTGATCTAAATTATTACATATACTTGAGTTCACTATGCGCCATCATATGTATGTACATATATAAGGAGCTCTCGACAGCAACTATACAATAAATTGGAGATTGGAGTGGAAATTTAATGAAGATCATCATTCCGAAGGGCTGCTACTAATGATTCTTCCTACACTTTATCACAATTACATAATACAAATAGAAGTAGGCATGATATAATCCTTCTATGTACTTACATACTTTCCCGAAGTGGAAACATGAAGCTGGGGTGACGATAGAAGTGGAGCAAGAAGTTTCCTCCAACTGACTCGCAGTATTTCATCTACTTTTCCGGATTTCACAGTATTTTATCCCTCTTTGAGTCGCTACTTCCACTCCCTCAATATCGAAGGCACAAAAAAATCAATGAAACAAATTGCTCACAAATTCTAACATCCGACAGAGGAGGGAAATATGATTTAAATCCACTTCTTTGCGCGTAATTCCGAAGCCTTGTATCTTTCTCTTCTTCGACATGTTTTCATCTCCTTCGTGAACTTTTTAATTCCAGAGTTGAAGGCTACTTCTTACTTTTTCTTCTGCCCCACATCTTTTGTACACAGCCTGCACTTGCAAATGCAATCATTTCAGCAAATATCACGTACACTGACTAAACTTTTTGTTGGCTGTGTGTGTTTTTCCAAATGTATTTTGTGCACTTTCTCGTGTGCACATGAATGATGAGCAGCCGAGTTTAATTTTAAAATTTGTTGAGAAATGCTGCCAAATTGTGTGTGTGTGTGTGTATGTGTATAAAAAATAATGCAAATCCTACTTCGAATTTATATTCTCTAAAATCGTTCCGTTCTTGGTTTTGATTCAAATTCAATTTCGAATGTACAATTTTAGACAACCTAAAAATTTTACGGCTCAATAAAATTTTCCTCCTTTCTGATATTTTTATTTTGAAACCCTCTTTGTGCAAAATATGTCTAAAAAAAAATCTATTCTATAATGTTTTCTTTCCCTTCTTGAGAGACACCCTGGACTTATCCAGGGGTGGTAATTCGTGAAAGGTCATCTCTTATGTGACAATATTCGAGAAATTGACGAATTGCGAAACCCGGAAAGGCAATATCATCAAATTGTCTAATTTCTGGTAAATAACAATCAGGCAAAGTTAGTTTTATGGGTTTTCTCTGGCTGGCAGCTGATAGCATGGCGAGGGAATTACTCGTGCTAATGCCAAATGGCAATTTAATGTGGAGAATGTTGAAATTTACTGTAAGCAGTGGGAAATACTCATCAGCAGTCGAATATCTTTTGCTTAATTGAATCGGATCGTTGCAATTAATTGAAATTCTTGGGAAGATTCCAGGGACTGACATTGTTCTCACACCTCATCCTGGCGAGTACGTCATTTGTATCCCAAAGTGTCTTGGCAAAGAAGAGACGGAGGATAAAATATTATTTTTCTTTAGAAACTCTTAATCCTAAGCAATAAATTGCTTTCTCTCGAAAATTCGGTGTCTTGTATTATTATACTTTCCTTTTTTTTTAATTCGTCGACTCTGCCGGAATTTAATCCGGCGAAATAATTTTCTGTCGGCAAAGATGGCACAATTTCCCGATGTCGAGCGATGGTGCAAGAGTGTAGATAAAATACCAAAAGTCTGTCCCGAGTGATAGGATAATTTATCGTTAAATTATATCTTTCATATTAAATTGCCATATAAATACACAATTTCATACTACATATATAGTGTCATGGGATATCGCTTGTGTGAAATAAAATACATTTCAGAATAGTTTGCAGTTTGAGTCGGAGAGAATGGAACTTTTCCTACTCTCATGAACAAGAGTACGAAGAGCACAATGAAGAGTTGAATCATTTATCCTTGCGACACAATTACCATATTTCATTGGTCGATTGGATGTTACACGGCGATGGCTAAAAACTAGACGACAATACATGATTCTGTGTGATCTGAATTAGTGAGTGCTTAGCGGAGGTAGAAAGAAGGAAAAAAAATCATCGTTTGAGCAAAAAAAGAAGAGAACATTTGTGAAGGTGACTCGAGCATCCAATACAGCACGTGATCAGCGTTGAAAATATCCTCCAAATTCAATAACGATGCCATCACAGTCACTAAAGATTTTATCACTCTTCTCTCTGACTCCAAACAATTAGGAACAATGAATAGAGCTTTTGAACAACTTTCTGTTTAAACTGCAACTGCAGTGCTTTGCATTGATTTTCGAAGAGTGTTCTCGAAAAATAAAACAAGATATATTGGATATGTTTTATGCTGTGTGAACGACTCTCCAGCATTAGTTCCATTCCGATGGCACAAATATTGCGACTGCTTCTCGTGACTCTGGCCAAGAGGCGTTAGTGAGCAAGAAAATCTCATTGCAATTTTGATTGCGCATATAGATAATTCATTGACGATTTTTCACACAATTCGAACAATTTTAGCTTTTAAACATTTCTACGATTTGTTTCTGGTCTTTTTGTTTGAAAATTGCTCAAAAACGTTGTTTGAATCCTCGTTTAGGCAGAAAACAAGCAAGTTTAAACATATATTTCTACAATATTTTACGTAATAACTGATATATCACCTAATATTTTTTCAATAGTAATCTAGGATTCAGTCAAATGGTCTACGTTGATAGTCAATTAAATAAGCTATCTAATAATGTATAGCTTGAAAGCGGATGCGAAAAACTCAGCGCGGACGCAAAAGAAAACTAAGACGCAAACTTACTTGCCAATGAAACGTCGCATTTACGAGTCAATTTGCTTAAATATTCCCACTCGATGTCGAGGCAGAATGCTTCCGGGACACTTTAGCATTCATCCCAAATCGCATAATTTAGGCGCGGCTTGGTTTCATTCGGATTGCATTGAGATTTGTTTTCAAAATGTGAATCTGTTTTTTCGAAGTTAGCATGCTTTACATTTCTGCCACCGCGAATCGACGACAGCGTCAGGTACCACGGACTTTCAATGTATTTCTTAAAGGAGTTTCAGCTCATGCTGGGAGTCGTTTATGAACAATTTTCTAATCAATGGTATTCATATTATTTACACATACACAATATTTCATTTTGTTTGATCTCTATCGGACAATTCTTTGATACTTTGATTCAATGTGTGCACCTTTCATTATCTAGTCATTAGCTAGGATAGACAAGAAGTTTCACATGTAAGAAACTTTACATTGGGTTGCAGCACCTTTTGTCGTTTCGCTATTATCTATATGTACGTCAATTTTACTAAAAGATCACTGGGGGAAGTGTCTCTCATGTTACGGCAGAGGAAACTCATTGAAAACAAAGTTCTCGTCGTAGACCAAGTTTTAGGTGAGACTACGAAGGGAAGGCATTTGAGAAAAAGCGTCGCTTCTTCAGCGTTTTATCTGACTGATGCACGGGGCGTTATGAATAATGCATCGATTTGCCAATTAACTTTTGTAAATAATAACACGACGAACGATGGCAAATATATATTTTCAATTTATGCATTTTCATGGAAATTTCATTTCCCGGGAAATTCTATCGCGCCCAATATTCACACTCATTGAACCTGAAGATACAATTCTGCGCCGTATGCCCTGGCTCTGAGCATTTGATCCATTTCACTGATTTTCGGAGATGATACGGATTTTTTTAGATTTTCATTCAGCAAATGCCGGTGGGATAAACTGGGTCTGGAGCAGGGAGACGGTGTTTTCTCCGCCCGAGGAGTTTATCACATTTGTGTACATTTCTGTATATATTTTAGACGTATGTACATAACATTACGTGTACTGTAGTCCCTACTTTTTTACCGCTCATCCTATTTTATCTGCTCCACTTTGTCATGGTAGTTTTCAATCCTATTTGACCTCTCTCTCTCTCTCTCTCCCCTGTATTTATTCTTGTAGGTGTTTGGTACAACAATAGTGAAAATAATCGGGACTGGGTCCGAATAGCTGGACGATAGTATCCATTATACCCTGTTAAAGGGCTTCGGAGTACTCATAGAGTCACAAACTCCACTTGCTCAACCTCCAAGCTCCCGTCACAACCTCAGCAGCAGCAACATTTGGAATCCCAGCAGCAACAGCAGCAGCAAATTCCATTCTCAGGCACGGAAAAGCACGCAAAGATGGGCAAGAGGGAAATTAAACGTGGTGTCGTCCAGAGAACCTCAGATGCTGGTAAGTGCAAATCTACATATAATCTTCTCTCTCTCTCTCTCTCTCCAATCCCGGAGTTGAACTATTACAACATATACACAATGGCACGAGCACATCTTAGCCCCATGTCTTATTTCCCTCCTTGCCTGAATGCGTATCGTCAAAGAGAATCTCTCTCTTTCTCCCTTTTCACGGAAGGAAAAGTCTTCCAATTCATGTATTTATAGAAGAAGGTAGCATTGAGGAATGGTATGCTCTCCTGGAATTTAACACGAGAGAATTTGTACAGAAATATTTGTTAAATTTTTGAAGAGAATTCAACGTTAGATAAAAGTCATTTATTGTACAAGATTAATGGAATACCCCGTGACAGAGCCATTCTGCAAAAATCACTCCCAATACTCTGTGTTGTGAAGTATTTAGTGAGAAATGCTTCTGTTTTATGCTCTGTCTCCTGGATTGGGAGCATTTCTTCTGATAAGACAAGGAAGCGGAGTATCCAGGACACGAATTCCATTCTAAATATAATTTTAATCAAAAATATCTCTCCAATATACTTAACATGGAAATCTAATAATTCGCATTTCAATTTGCACGACATTGGCGTAATGTAATTTTGCACAGATGTGCCAGCGACGACGGAAAATGATTGAACAATTCCTTCACCCTGAATTCATTTAGTTCCTCCTTTACAATTTAATTTCCTATCTCATTGTATGGGCCAAAAGGAGCCACTCGAGAAGTTGCTAAAGAAATACTTTCTCGTGTGAAGGTCTGTATTGAGACATTTTCACTTCACATTGTGTTGATGTCTATGGAAAAAAGTTTCCGTAAATTGACCAACTCGTGCAAACCTTTGAAGGCAGTTTCTGCTTTTGTGAAGGATGATTGGCTCTGACATGGAAGGAAAGCAGGAAATATTTAATTGACGACCACGGAAATTCTAAATACACTGTGATTCATCCGAAGACACTTTGAAAGCATGTAAAATCAGGAAGCGATATTAAAGCACTCAAGAGAATATGTGGTTCTGACTTTGCAAATGGACGCTCTTCACCTGATATCATGAATTTTCATAAATAGTAAGTGCTTGTATTCGTTCGGACATTTATCTAACATCATAATGGACTTTTTATATCTCTACACCAGAAACCTCTTTGCAGTTCCTCTCTACGAATAATATCTTCAGCAAGGCATAAAGAAATTGAATTTGTGACTTTCTGCTCTATCTTTGCAAATTGTTGTGACTCTTTTGATTGTTCTCCGGAGAGGATATTTTGGCCTCTCTTTTATATAGAGATTTTATCTGAGAGAGAAAACCATCAGAAGCACGTGAAATTTCAACTTTACTATATATCCACCCTTTTCATGCACAGGCGCCGGTGTGGTTGTATGCAAAATTGCCGAGGCTCTGTGTTTAGGTGAATTTGAGAATCCGCACTTGAGCTTTCTGTAGCCCAACTTTGGTGTATCTTTATTTTGGAGCGAGCACACAAACAAAGGGAACAAGAATAGATTAATATTTAACGTTGTATTCAGAGGCGAGGGACTCTTTAGGTTTGCTCTTTCGATTCGACATACACATTTGTAGATTAAGGCAGAATGTCCTGGGTGTAAAGAATGTTGAGATAGCGGAGAATCTGAGCTTTGGAGCATCTCCTCGTCCATTATGGATGCAAATTAATTCAATTTTATATAGTTCTATTGGCATACATTGGCTGAAAGTACATAGGACACCCTTGGAGGACACTTAATTTACTCAGAGATTTAATAAAGGCTCCCGAGTTGTAAATGTGACACTGTGAGAAAGTAAATAAAATGACTGGGTTGAAATGGCAAGTGATTCGCCTTTGAACTCCGTTTTTGTTCTCCTGTATTTAATTTGTCATGGCGAAAATACAATTACGAGCGTCAATTTCATTTATTCTCCCGGGGAAGAGTTCTCGGGAATGGATAATAAATTGCAAGACGAATGACAAGAGCCTCGGAGGTTCGAGTTGCTAAAGATTGCCACTCCCTGGGCTAGAAAAATTGGAAATCAAACCGAAGTGCCTCGCTTTAACCTCTGGTGACGCACTCAAGAGGGTTCAAGAGAAAATTCTATGAATAAAAAATCATGCCCGTGGAAGCGAGAAAGAAACGAGAAAATAATTTATCCCCAACGTGACACTTTAAATCGACAAAATATATCCCCATCCATAGCATTGAATATATCCATTTTTTCCAAAATTTTATCGACGCTTGCCTTCATCAACATGAAATAATTGTACTCTTGGAGAGAAATTGAGTATAGCAGAGAGAGAAATATATATGTATGGGTGAAAAGAAGACTTCCTTACCTCTTCATGTGCAATTTCCTCAGAAATTCCAACAGAAAATAGAGTGAGCAATCATCTAATTTCTCGCTCCTCCACTATAAATATCTAATGTTCTTCTATAAAATATTTATTGCTCTATTTACAAAATCGTCTTACATTACAGTGTTTCCAGGGAGGGAAAATATCTAACTATAATGCTAAAATATATAGCAGTAGCATTAGCAAATTCCTGATCTGCTCAGAGTTCCGTTGCTATTAAATTAATAAATTCTCTCTTGTGCGGATAAATAAGGTGCATAGGGCGATTCATAAATGCGGATAGTTTTGTGAGGTGCAATTTGTTCGCTCGAAATGTCATCACAATGCGTTTTTTTTGCTCTCAATTGAAGTACCGATTCGTTTCATCCACGGCCGCCTGTACAATCACATCACTGCACGGATTGAGGTCCCAGAAGGCGCCCTGGCAGCCCACCCTCTCGAAGCAGGCATACCTCACGGCCGGGTTGCGGGGTGAGCAGCAATTCACGATGGCCCAGACGCACCTGGATGGGCCGTCGGGGCTCGGGGGCGCCGTCGGACGTCTCTCTGGCTGACTGGGTCTCTGCTGGGGTCTGTCACTTCCACTCCCTAGTTGGATAAGGCTAAATAGTGAGAGGCACCAACACGGGCCGACAGAAAGGTGGACAGAAAACACAGTGTTGAGTGCATGATAACACATTTTGCGTGACAGTGGTGCTTTGCAGACACATCTCCCAGAAATGTTAGTTTGGAATTCTGTCCGATTGCAGACAGAAAAGCAACATTGTTAGTCACCTGAGCAAGTAACACACCCCGAAGGGAGTTCAAGGCACATCTGAAGAGTTTAAAACGGTGAAGTTGAGTGGATATTCTGCCTCTTGTGGGATTTGCACTGGCAAGACTGAAACCCTTATCAATATGAAATTGAGATTAACATGGAGTTGCTTTATATATATATTGTACATATTTGTGCAAAGTTAGACTGATTTTCTAGTTAGAACATCACACAAAGCTGACATTCAAATTCTCCGTAGAGTAGCAATTTCGTAGCCAAATATGATGTTGCAAATATTCTGAGAAATACCGCATCTATTTCCTCCGGATCAACTTTAAAACAGCCCAGCTGAATCTCAAAAACTCTCATCAAAGTCTCTAAAGACTCTCAAAACGGATTATAATGATGTTCTCATCATGCACATAGCATCACTGGGAAACCAGATAAAATGATAAAAATCACTCAGTCTGCCATTTGACACGACTTCCCAACATCCCATTTACAAGCTGATTGCAGAGCGATAAGAGTCTCAGGCTGCCTCCCATCGTGGCGTGATATTACTTGCCTGAGAAGGTGCCACCACCTTGCAAAATTGCTACTGTACTGTGGATGGAACCCGAATCAACTCACCAACTTGATTGAAATTGGGCTGACTGGATGGAGGACGCTGAGCACTTCCGGTGTTGCTTGGCAAGTCATCGTAGTCCGGGCTGTTGTGAATGAGGGGCGGCGGTGGGCGCCTGGTTGTGGTGCGCACACCTTGATTCACACTACCTTGATTAGCAGCACCCTGATTCACACTGCTCTGACTCCCGCCACCTTGGGGAATTCTATTCAATGCCGTGAGATCATCATAGTAATCTTCATTATCACGAATCACGGGCGGTGCGGGGCGCCGGGTGGGCGTCGGCGTAAAGGACTGGGTCGCTGTGGAAGAGTTGAAAGATATCTCGTGAGTTTGTGTCGAAAATCACCTCTGAGAATTTCCTCTGATGAAAGAATCATGATGTTGCGAATTGCCACAACCTTTCGCAATAGCCAAAGACTGAAAGCTTTCAATAACTAAATTTGATTTTTTGTCTGTCTGAGATTTACAATGCCATGGGATGTTAGCAATTTCATGCTTTATACCTACTGAAATATAACACAAAATATCGATTGCTTGGCTATTTCGAAAGCATCTCAGTTTGCCCCATTAATACTTACGTGTCTCTGGAATTAGCCTGGATGGCTTGTCCTGAACATCCCACACTGGTCCATCCTCGCCAAACCGACTCCCAGTTGATATGCCTGGGCGTGAGTCTACGGTGTCTGGCGGAGAAGTTGTTGGCGGTTTGGTGACCTGAGTGACGGGGGGATTCTGCGGGGGATGGGGCGGGTTGTAGACGACTCCTGGGATGGGATAACTGATGAACGTCTGCTGAGGACGGACGATGAATTGACTGGGGTCAGGCGGGAGATAGTAATTGTTGAGTCGCGGTCTGTAGAAAGGATTGTTCCACGGATTGTTGGGATCCGCACTCACAGGCAGTGTGTAGATTTGATTAGTGTAAAGTGCCTGGAATGGCTGTTGATATCTTTGGTTCGTCTGCTCCTCGTAGTCCCGCCTCAATTGCTCATGATACATCCTCTCATGCTCCAGGAAGTGTCGAGTCCATTCGACATCTATAACAAGACAAATGCATTTGACACTTTCTCACTCGCCAGCAACACACTCATTTTCTAGAATTATTCCCCTCGTTATCCCATTGCCAATGAAGTCCTCTGGTTCGCATAAATATCCCTCAATATACAGTGTGCAATTTGTTTAATTAGTTTCTCCGCTGATACAAGCAAAGCAATGAATACCATTGGGCATTGGGGCATTTGACGACGATTCTACCAATGGAAATTTAATGCAAAGTAATAGCTTTGTTCTGCGATGATACACACACGCACACACACACATTTACCAATTCCTCCTAATTTCTCTCATACGAATGAAATATTTCCTTATTAATCACTCCTCTATGTACAAATCGCTTCTCATTCCATGTGAATGAGAATAAATTTCGTGTTTCTCACTACCTCTTGTATAGCACACGTATTCATGCAGCATACCTGAGATTATCGACCCAAAGACCATTAAAATTTAGAGTGTTTGTCTGCAAAATTAAGCGGGGGTATTTTGATCCGTTTAGTCAAATTCCCAGTGTAATACCACGTTTAAGACCAATATCTTCTAGTCTGTTTACCAAATCCCAGGCAACGATGGTAGAATTTAATAACAAAATCCAGGTTAAAAGGAAAACTTTATATATGCTCACAAATAGTGCAAAGATAGAAAATGTTTGTAAAATTTAATGATCAATTTTCAACTCTTCTGGGGACTTTTTCAGCTCTTCACAACTAATTTCCCTTGTGAGGATGATACCCATAAATAATTGATAACCCGGTGTATGACGACACAAGAGAAGAAGATGTGCAGTTTGTGCACTAAAAGGAATATTATGTGATTTACTCAGAGCCATAAAACCATTCATTTTATACGTGTTCATGACCCATCTTCCATATTTTATTATTTGATAGCGGGTGATAGAGAAATTTTTAATGGCAATTGAGATTGTAGGAAAAGTATCAAGCGCGTGTATTAAATTTTAGCTCAAAAGGAAAAATGATTAGACGTCAGAAGACATATTGTGGTTGCAATAAGTCAACTATGATTGTGTGTTTGTGTTTCAAGGGGTGAAAATGGTCATAACAATGAATACTAACTCTATGGATTTGATTTATGCGCAATATTTGACCATTCATGGAAAACTATGAAATTTATATACATCATGAAAACAAGATGAATGTATTAATCCCAGACAGTCCAATTTCTCAGAATATTGCCTGCGGCATAACCAGAAATATGTATATGGGCATGTTATGCGCTTATCTCACCTGAGTGTCTCTTCTCCAGCTTCTTCTCCTCCCCCTTCTCTGTGTGCCTCTTGGCCCTTTCCCGTCTCTGATGACGACGCTCATGATGTCGGTGCTGATGGTGGGACTCCTTGGTGGTGTCCTGGTCAGATTTTCCCTGGTCTAATTTCATATCTTGCTGATCCGATGGCAAATAGTCAAAATACTTCTTGTCATAGATTGAGTATTTGGACGTGGGCTTTGGCTCGAGCATAATTTCCTGAAGTAGGTCATCATACTCCTTTTCCGTGTAGGGCTTCTTCAGTGAGCGTATTTTCTGCAGGAATCTCTTCGCCGCCGCCTTCGTAATATATGTCTCCTTATAGGCGGTAAATAACTTGGGCGGCGGAGCTGGAACAGTAATGAAATAGATAAAAGCCGGCGCTGGGGAGAATGTCTGATTGAAAATTTCCATTAAATTTTAATAAATTTCCCCATGAGTAGTCTAACCTGTAAGTTGAGGAGTAAATAAAGTGCGGGAAACTAACCTTGGGACGGGTCCAATTTCCAATTCTCTAGTAAATCATCCCCTCTATCACTCCCCTTGACATCGGCGTTGGGAATCGAGTCACGGAGTGAATTCGATTTGCTGAGAAACTTTCTTTCGTCCTTGGTCACTTCCAGGCTTTCTCCACCGGAAGATGTTTTGCCGGAAATCAGTGGCAGAGCACAGTGCAGAATTAGGTACAACACCACCACCACCTTCATTTTTATACTATCACACCAGCAGAGAGCTCGAAACTGCAAAGAGAGAGGAGTGCAAAGACGGGCATTACAATTTTCTCAATCCATTGAATCGCCAAATCTCAATCTCCATTCTAACGCCACGAGAGAAGTAAAGACGGGGAATATTGCACGGGATTTCGAAGGATTTCGCCCAGTGGAAAATTACAAATATTCTTCAACTGCAAAAATCATGGATGCCACTCCAGGAGCTTTCACTTGTCGATGTTTCACGAGATAATCCCAGACAAATATATTGCAAACAGCGAACGACCAAATTGACTTGCGATACTCTCCCCCGAAACCCTCAGCACACGATATTGCCTCGAATGTAGACTTTTATTTGATATTGATTGGGTGAGGGGAAATGTGCGCCTATTAAATTTAAACCCAAACCATTACAAATCATCCATACTCAAGCCAACCGCCCTGTGACGGAAGGGAGAACGACAAAACCCAAATGTCTACGTAAATGGTCGTCAGGGCACGTTTTTTGCCCATATGCCGCGACACTGACACATTAAAATGGAGACAGTGATGCTTTACGGATCCATTCACTTCCGAAAATGCCAGGCTTCAGAGGCTTTAGGATATTGGCACATTGTGGGAGAATTTATAAAGGCCAACAGAGATCCAATCAATCATTAGAAATCAATATAACCAATATGCTTTGTAGTTTTCATTGCGGAAAAAAATTATGCTGTGATGGTGAAAAGCGTTTTATCCCGTACAGATATTTGCAAATTGCAAACTTCCATCACACTTTTGTCTGTGAGATTTTGAAAAATATTCCACAAAACTAAAATAGCTTGAAAGAGAGGAGAAATCTATTTATTGATTTTTCTCACAAGGCACGAAATAGAACATTCTCATATTTTAAAAACTGCCGAAAAATCTATAAATTGCCCTTTGCCATGAAGTTGAAAAGACTTTCACTCTCCATTCTTCACTTTCACTTCGTCCGCCTCACTCAATTTGGTCTCAATTTTTCCCCAACACTGAATTAATAAGAACACGCCATGCCATACGAATATCCGAAAGGCACAGAAAAGAAAAGGAAACTCACTTGAACTGATATTGAAGTGAAAAATTTGCACTACGATTGATGGTGAACTGGAGCAAGATTGACACGAAAAAATTCAATTTAACACTGATCCCTGTCAGCAAGATGTTTCATGTTTTATACAGCCAAGAACAGTCAATATGGGAGACGATAAGCATTCGCCTCTTTGACACCTTCACTCCCACTCCTCACGAAGCCGGAGCACTTCCGCTAAGCAAACAGAAGGAACTGCTTAAGCGTTTTTTCCGCGCCACGCGTGGAGTACAATATGGAGAAGACGGCACGAATCCAATAGTCCAATGACGTAATTTCTCTATCACGCATCAATTCTTGGGATGCCGAATATCCCCGAGCACGGAGGGAGTTTGCAGTTCTTGAACTCGCATTATACACTCATATTTTGTCAATATTTATTCTATGATAAGCCACCGTAGCATCATTCATCGCTTTATTGGGAATTCAGGTTAAAATTGATGACAAGGAGGTTTTCTTTATCGCCCACTTTACTCATTTTCATTCGCTTTTATGGGCACCGATGAAAAAAATAGTCTTATTCATCATGGGTTATTTCGCCCTCACGTTCTAGGAACAGCACCCAAAGAGATCTTCCATCCTGATTGATCATCCTTCGTGATGATGACGTATTGGGTTTATTAGACACTCGGGAATTGAGTCTATTTCTTTCTCATTCACCACTGAAGCACGCTGTATTGGCTTAGATAGGTAAATGAGCTCACGACTGCCTATACATTAAACCCAAAAAGTAAATTCACAATGCTAATTTATTATGCTAATCTCTCATCCGTTTGTCAATAAAAGTTAGAGGGGCGTGAAAAGACTGGATTGATAAATCTGAACGTAGAATAGCGATTATTCAAGACTGGAAAATTATGAATTAAATTTGCAAGGCACATAATTCTCAACTCTCAGTTCTCCGATCAATTTTAATACGCTATATCAGTTGAAATTGAAGATTCTGAACTAATGCCCTCGGGTATATTAGCATAAGAGACCATTTATCGAAGTAATTCCATCTCACAACTGATACTCTTCTTAAGATGAAATGAGAAGATATTTGCACACTTTTATTATCCCTCGAAGGCAGGATTAAAAATCCATTAAGACTTCTCAGAGACATATTTTTGACTAAAACTATAGAGAATTTACTTGGCAAAAAGAGCAAAACTAATTACCCACCGGCTTATTTAAATTTACTTTTTTCTGCTATTAACTCTCATGTGTTTAGCAAATGACATAAGTGTTGAGTGAATGATTGTAAGTGATCACTTGGTAGTGTATATTTCAATTGAAAAGATAAAAATCAGCAATCATGCTCACTAATTCCGCACAAAAGTGTTATTCATTCATTTAATTAGAAATATGAACATAACCTTCAGGTTTGGATTTTCTTGTACAATCTCACGGCGTGAGGCAATGAAGGAAGTGTTCCTCGCGAGTTTCCACACGTTTGAGAAATCAATTAACCCTTGTTTCGTGATTTGAAACATTTTTTCGAATGTTCATATCGTGCTCTTTGAGAGCAATTTACATCGCACACGACTTTTATTGTATGTCGTTCGGTCACTTGTGCCTATATATCATCTAGAAATTTTATAGTCAAAATGCCACACAGTTATTATCCATGAGTTTCCGCTGATTCGACTATAGTTTGGAGATGGTGAAGCCAGACGAGGAACCACTCCTCTTTCGTGTACTTGACACATTTTTATGGCGCCCCAATAGTTCAGCCACAGTGAATATAAATTACATTTATTGTTGCTGGACAAATTGTGGAAATTGCTAAAAAAAAATTTGCACTCTTATGCAACATGTGACACCACAACTTCCTGCTTCACTATCTATAGCCCTGACCTTACACATAGTAATATGTGAATTCATAGAGTAAACATTGTACATAAAAGCTCCACTGGGGGATAAAGCAGTGGATATTTAATTTAGCTTTCTTCAAAAGTACTGCAGCATGAAATTGGCCCAGGAATGCACATAAAATCCCTGCACAGGAATTTCCAACGCATTCCCTCCATTTTCTCCCCAGTATAGAATCGCCTCTGTTTTCATTATCCACTCATACAGATGAGTCTCGGAGCGGATTTTTTTTATGTGGCATTTCCCCTTGAGAAATTAAATTGAGTCGCAGGTGTTGTCATAATTTCCCATTTCACTTTATATCTCAAAATGATGAATTTCGTACACAAAGTAGAGCCTGAAAAGCACTTGCTTTTGATTGAGAGTGACTCAAGTGTTTCACTCCCTCAATCTATTCATAAGTCCACAGCACACATACATTAATTTACATATAATTACAATTTTATTTATTTGCCAACTGTTGAGTTCCTCAACTGACATTATCAAATGAACATTTTATTATACCGTTGTGATGCGAAATTATTGTGACCATTTATTTCATTGAGAATTTCATTAAAAGTGACGCTCATGATTACAACTCCGGGCACTGAATGGAAAGTGTTCTAATTGGGAAAATTTATCATCTTGAAACCCCAACTAAAAATGATGAATGGAGTAAAGATTTTCACAGGCAAAGCCTGTAGAATTTAGGAAGGATTCTAGATGTTGCTCAAATTGCTTTATCGGTGAATTCAATATAACACAAGTGATTATGTACCAATAGGAGCCAAATCAAAAGGTTGCATATATTAATAATAGCTAAGAGGCTATTTGAGGATAATGACGTAAGCAGGATGGAAAATAGCCTTCGTATCTACACTACTAATCTCAATTTAATTCATGACAAAGGCTCCCGTTCACTTTAGTGATTATCCGAGAGTTGGTGTTGTGGAAGAAGGATTTTCCCTGTATGCTAACAATTATGATTTACTGTGTGAATACTATTTCATCTTTTGAGAACTCCTAGACAATGCCAGAGGGGAGATTATTAGTGAGACAGAAGGCTCACGTAGAGTCGTAAAACGTAATGTGTTCATTTTAATACGCGCCGAGACATCAAAATATCAGAATGTCTGTGCTCGCTAAACAGCCTTTCGTTGATCTTTGCTCGTTGAGCATATGCCTCACACCTGTGATGACTAACATTTTCAATTGCCTTTGAATCGTACTTTCGCACCCACGTCACAGAAGGTCACTTACTCGTGTTCATGTGTTGATAAGAAATTAAATTTATTTATAGTTGTCTGATGACACAGTAAGAACCTTTGAGTACTCATAAACGAAGCCTGTTCAAACGCTCTCTTCGTGTTGGTCTTGCGAGTCAAGTTCTCGCGAACGCACAAAGTCCGTGGAAAAGACGCGGGATCAAAGAGCTGCCAAATACCATAAAACGCTCAACATCACACTACTCACACACATATTGGGCCAAGTTAAATAATCGTCGTACATTTGTAGAATTGTGAGCGCAGGAAAGTGGAATATTGAAGGAATGAATAATTTACTGAGCGAATCTTTAATGCTTTTCTTAAAGAAACTATTAAAAATCAGCAATATCTTGTCATCACACTTGTTCAACATATGCTATTCCCATTCTATTTCAGTGGCATGCGACATGAAGTGTTTGTATTTGCAACTGGGATGGATTTCACAAAACGGATTGCGTGACTCTTTGCAATTAAGATTTAAGTTTTGGCTAATTTTCGCAAATTTTAGCATTTACGAGCACGAGTTCGAACATTTACAGGCTCGTGGGTTTTTTGGTAAAATTAATTCTGGGCTAAGAGACTAACTTACAGTCAATTCTGAATACAATTAATTTTAATTTCATCTTAGCCAATCCATATCTAAAATGCAAAAATTCATTCAAGGTGATCTTGTAAATGTTTCTCCTTCAGCAAACTCCCGCATAAACCCCTTTTACAAAAAAAGAGAGGTTCACAGAGCCAATGTTAAACGTGATGTGTTTGCTTCTTTGAAAATCAAGTCAAATTACCTTTTCACGGCTCAACACCGTGAGTTGTGGGCATTA